TCCAGGCTCTAGCTTGCTCTAAAGGCCACTCACAGTTCTCTTTCCTACCAGTCAGCTTCCTCCTGATCTCAGCAGGCAGTGAGAAGGCAGTCCACTCAGACGCTCACGCTCTAAACCTGGCAGCAGCCTGGTTGTTCCTTATCTCTCACCTCCTATTGCTTCTCCTTCAGAACTGTGTCAGGGTTTTAAAAACGGTGTCCCTGTTTCATCTTTTCACCTCTTTTCTGAAAACGGAGTAATGCTGAGGCTCCTGGCTTTGGGATTTAACCAAGCTGATTTTTTAAAAAATAATATGACAGTTTATTTTTACATCACTTTGTGCCTTTTTCCATCTCAGTTGTAATCCCCGTGGGCTTCCCATCACCAAATCACCCGTGTGCCATCACCATAGTCCAGTGCATTTCCCTGCCCTCCACATTTTTGATCCCATTCCCCACTCCACCCCCACAAAATGTCTCTGGTATATAGTTGTTCATCATCATTATTATTTTCTCACCTGGTCCGTTATACTACTGCTATGAGTGAAACTCTCCAGTATTTTTCCTTTTCTTTCTGGCTTATTTCACTAAGCATGATCTTTTCCAGCTCCATCCATGTTGCTGCAAAAGGCATGTGTTAGCTTTTTAATTGCTGAGTAATATTCCATTGTATATATGTACCACATCTTTTTAATCCAGTCATCTACTTTTGGGCATTTGGGTTGATTCCATGTCTTTCCTGTTGTAAATAAAGCAGCAATAAACACGGTGACCGAGCTGATTTTGAATCTGACTTGACTGATCTCTCGCAGAGTGGCCCTTGGCAGGTCACTTCACTTGTCGAGGTCTCCAGCCTGTAAAATGGACGGCGTGATGGCTAACTTGTGGGATTTTGAAACGTAAAAAAAACAACACATTAAAAGCAGTATACAGACTATCTAGTTCATAATAATAACTCAATAAGTAGTTCACTTACTACTGTTTTAATGATTATTTCTTGTGTCTGCTGTGAGGATGAGGTCCAGGCTATAAGGAAGGACCCATCAGAGCTGGACACACTGTAGTCAGATATGAGGTATGGAATCCCTGCCTGTCACACCTCCAGTGTCCCCCTCAAACTCCACCAGGTGTCATTCTAAAAACATGCTCCTCTCTTAGCTCTCTGTTGCTCTGGGAGACAGTCTGTGCTTAGTCTGGCAAGAGGGTTTCTCCCTGCCTGACCCTGAGGCCCCTATGCAGCCACACTAACCATCTCTCCTCTCCAGCGACCCTCTCCCATCACTCTAATGTGACCCCTTTCCATTGCCAGGCCCTCCACCTGCTGGCCGTCTGTGCCCATGTCTTTCCTGTCCGTCAACTTTCCTCCATCCGGTCACGTGTCCTATAAAACCAACTTCCCAGAGTCCTCTGGTGAGAGCTGGTGGCTTCTTTCTTGTAGCTGTGGCTCTGGAGTGTAACTTACCTGCTTTTGTTTGCTCTGAAGTACTTAGGGGTGGGCGTGTCAAAGCCCGGTAGGTGCCTGGCTGTGTTGACACTTGGCATTTGCCAGTCAGCAGGTAATGGTGAAGGGTGAGCAAAGAGCCCCAGAGTCAGCTCCAAAGAGAATGTTCAGAAATGTTTCCAGTTGTGGGTGCTGTTGGAAGAGGGCATGGCCTCCCAAGTCATCTCTTTTAAAAGGGCAGCATTACTGTGGACGTTTAGTATTTATAGACATGTTTATAAAGAAGGCTTGTCGGCTGATTTGTGGACACCTAGGAGGAACAGCAACCAAGGTTTGTTAACTGCTTCTTGAGATGCAGAACCTGATAGCCCTGTAATCGGATCTGGGTCCCCATCTGTGCAGAGAGCACAGCACTGCCTGAGACAGATGGCACTTTTGAGATGTCACTTGCAGTTGTCATAGTGAATGAGCAAAAAGGAAGGATAAGAAAGGAAACTTCGATGTCTGTGTCTCCTTTGTGATCTCTGTTGGGGTGACTAAGAGACCTTGAGTGAGAAGGAAATTGGCTTCTGGCAACCTCGAGAACAGGTGAGAGGCAGGCTGCTGCTTCTCTAGTGGTGGTCAGTGCCAGAGGCGGTGTGAGTAGCCAGAGGAGTCCAGACCCTAGGGCTTTGCAGGGCAGTGAAGAGAGGAGGGCCAGGATTATTTGGGGCTCAAGGACTCATGCCAGCCTCAACTTTATGAATAGATAGGTCTTTGCAGCTCTTGGGTACCCAAGTTTATGGGAGTGCTTCTTTGGCTTCATATGGTCTGTGCTCTGGGGTTGAATATTGATGTAGAGACCCCAGAATGCTTCAGACAGACCCTCTGGTGTTTCTTCAGAAGTTCACCTGTTTTCCTCTGTCCCCTTCTATTTATTCTCACTGCCTGATAGATGACCTGGGCTTGCCTAGAACCAGGTAACATGGGACATAGCCTGTCAGCTGTGTTGCTGCTGGAGTGCTGTAGTAAAGATGTAAATCCACCTATGGGCAAAGAGGCCAGTGAACAGGTCCTGTCCACTCAACAGGAGAAGTGAGCTACCTGCCCAGGCAGTGAAGGTATGGGCTCCCTTTCCACTTGGAGGTTGGAGAAGAGATTTGCTGGCAAGGATGGTCACAAGCTAGGTTGAGATGAAGAGCTTTCTTTTCCACTCCTCTTGATGGAGTCTTACTGGGTTTTCCAGAAACAGACCCAGAGGGAGAGGACTTTCATGCATTATAAAGGGGAAGGGTGTCCTAAGAAACAGACTTAAAGGCTAAGGTGAGTGGGTGTGTGTGTGTGTGTGTGTGTGTGGCTAGCGAGAGCCAACCGAAGGTTGCCTGGTTATGGTGTGTGCTAGGTGCCATGATCCTCTGTCTGCCACAGTCCCTGAAAGCTCTCCACAGCCTGCCCTTCAGGGTAAAGAAAGGGAGTGTCTGTGACCCTGAACTTCTAGGTGTGGGTGTCCTGGCCATGACGCTCCAGAATCAGAGAGAATACAGTCACGTTATCCAAGCCATGCAGGGCTGGGCATGGGCACCAGTGAGGGGCCGCTCCAAAACCTCTAGAAGGTGTGTCTGGTCCAGTGGGAAAGCCTGGCTTTGGACTCTAGGATATTCCTGTTTGGAGAAATGCAGGAATGAAGATTCCTTTCTTCAGGGAGGATGGTATGGTAGCTTCTTTCTGCTAGGAACTTTTATGCTCTTCTCTGTTATTTTAAGTTCAGTTTTGAATTGTTCCTTCCTTACTCAAAAGTACAGTGAACCACAGTAGTGGACTGTGGGTGCTTTGGTGGTGGGTGTGGTGCGGTGTGGTGAAGAGGTGTGATCCCACACCTCTTAGTCAGACACGGTGTTATAAACCAATCTTACCGCAATACGAAAAAAATAAAATTGACTTTTGTATACTGACCTAAATCCTGAAGCCTGGTTAAATTCCTTTCTTAGCTCCAGTAATTTTTTCATCCAATTCTTTGGATTTTACTAGAAAAAGATCATGCTTAGTGTAATTAGAGGTAGTTTCTCTATCTGTAGGGAGTTTGATTTTTTTTTTTCAAGATTTATTTATTTGTTCATACAGAACTGGGGTACAGGCCAGAGGCTCAGGGGTGACAAGAGGCTTCACCAGAGACAGAGTAGGGAGCAGAACAGGCAGATTTACGAAGTACACTGCTGAGGGGAGCAGCGGGCGGGTCAGGAGAGGTCTGCCATACCATGTGGTCACCTCTGGGGCAGGCGGGAATCGAACTCATGCGGAAGTGGCTTTAACTTCTCAGTGCTGTGCTTTAACCCGCTGCGCCACCAGGGAGGGCCCTGATTTTTTTTTAATTTAAAGATTTATTTATTTATGCACATAAGAACTGGGGCCAGAGGTGTGGGAGGGCGTGTGTGTGTGTGTGTGTGTGTGTGTGTGTGAGAGAGAGAGAGAGAGAGAGAGAGAAAGAGAGAGAGAGAGAGGATTCACCAGCGACAGAGTGGGGAGCAGAAGAGGCAGATGTACTGAATTCACTGCTGAGGGGAGCAGTGGGTGGGCCAGGAGAGGTCTATGCCATGTGGGTCATCTCCCTGGCTGGGGATTAAACTCCTGCTGCAGTGGCTGTGATAGCTTCATAGTGCTGTACTTTAACCCGTTGCACCACCAGAGAGGGCCCGGGAGTTTGATTTTAAGTGGTTGGAAAGTTATGTCCTTGCTCCTTTCCCATCTGAACAGCTTCTTGGGTTGTTTACTCGGTCCTGGCAACTGCTCCTTCCAGGAACGAAGACCATCATATGGCTTCCGGCATTACCAAATCTACTGTGGCAAATATTTGTGCAGGATACTTATTTATTATAATTATTTTTACATTTTAAAAGGGTGGGCTTATTAAGAAAGGGAGAAAGAAAAGGGCACCTGGTAGTCACAGCTGAGCAGAAGAGCAGCCTTTTACTGGGGCACTAATTGTCCTGATGCAGAATATGTAAAAGAAGTAGAACAATTCAAGGAAGTCTGTGGCCTCCTGATGACCAGCATTCAATGGCATCAGCTAAAGGAATCCGCAAGCATCCAGGAGACATGGTGGAGAATTTACTCACTTTGTCCCAAGCTGCACCCAAGGAACAGTAGTGATGTAGTGTTATGTTGTGGGTTTTTGCCTCTCGGGAACAGCAGTGACCTGAAATACGAGCGTGCATCAACTGGGCGGGGTGTGGAAACCTGGCGCATATCTCACCAGATTCAGGGCTCACCTTGGGCCTCTTGCCCTCACACTATAGTGGACTCCACTGGCATCCAGTGCCTCCCAGGCCATGCACAGCAGGGATGCTCATCCACACCCATGCAGGAGTGTTTGCTTTCCTCCAAGGCGGAAGATGGGCTCATTCACCATGACGATAAGTTGGGTGATTGGCCTGGGGACCTTGACGCGCCCGACCAGGTAGGTTTCTGTATCGGAGCATGCATGGTCATCAGCCGGGGGCTGACCCGGGCAGCCAAGGTTGTGCCCTCCAGCATGGTCACCATTAGGAATTTTCCAAAGTCCACTGAAGCATTTTGTGAGTGGATTCTTTCCTTTTCTGTTTCAGAAATCATTACGGAAATTAATAATGCATCCGTGTTTAATAATACCTGTGTGAGGTGGCAAATAAATGCAGGAAGAATGAATCCCAAGATTGTGTATGTGGTAAGTATAGTGGTCTGCTTTTCCTTGCTAGAGCAGAATTAGTAACTAATGGGAATAAGGGGGGCGGGGGTGGGGTGGGGACATTTTCCAGGAGAGCTTCTCAGTTTAATTGCTTTGTAGCCCCATCACCCTTTTAAAGAGTTTACAGAATTGTGAAGAGAATGGATTATTTTACTTTGCATTTTATGTTGTGTATCTTTGCCACTTGACAGGGTATATGTGTGGGGCTGTGTTTGGCATCATTGATTATTGCTTGTTTTGAAGCACTTGAATTTCCCTCCCCCAGAGCCAGCTTGGGAGCATCTGCTGACTCAGTGGCAGGATGCTGGGAGAGGCTCTCAGTTTGTGCCACTGATCTCTGGTCCTTTATGCGCAGCATAGCAGCCCAAGAGAGACTCCTCATTTTATTGATTACTGAGCTGATTGGGCTTCATCATCAAATACAAATACAAATAAGGTAGAGGCTTAACCCATTGATCTCCCTGGCTAAGCACGGTGGTGTGAAAGG